GTTTTAAATCCCTTTATGAATGATAATACCACTCTAAGTCCTCATTACTAGATGGCAAGTACCTTTATTTGTAAATCTCCAAGTGATAAAGTCAAGATAACTGTATAAATTAAAGCGAGGTTTCAAGCCCAACATTATTGGTTGGAGCTGTGTACCCACCAGTAAAAATTAATTATTGCTTCCTCATAGAGGAAGCTTTGTGTCGGACCGATTTTCGACTTTCATAACTAATAATCGTAGAGTACTACGTTTAGTGCGCAAAAAGCGTTTTTGGACACGGGTGTGCAGTAAAACGCCTCATTTAAATGAAAGTATTTTTCGTCTCCTATTGCATAAAATTTCACCCACACACCCACACCCACTCGTGCCGGCATAGCCGGCACTCGTGTCTTTTTCCGCACACTCGTGCCCAAAAACGCCGTTTGAGCACTTGTTACATAAATAACTATTTTTTTTCGGGAACTACTTTAATTGTTACGTCATCGTGAAAATAATTCGATAAAAATTATGTATCAAAGAATAGAAGAACGTTGGCAATTGATTCCACAACAGAAATAATTTATGATTGAAACTCTTTTGTGAACAAATTAGAAATGATTATATTAATATTTCCAAATTATTTTCAAGTAAAAAAAAAGTATGAGGAAGCTACTTGCCAATACATTGGCAGCGGTTTTTTTGAAATTGATTATAAACTTGAGAAAAAATTAATTTATTTTTAAATATGCATTAACTATTCGAATAAGAGCTTATATTATAAGGCCCAATCTCTTTTTCGAAATCATAATGATCGATGCGCACTGCGATGCCGCGTCGGTCATAGGTGAAAGTAACTTGATTGAAACATCTGTGTAGCGTCGTATGTCTCCGTTTTTTTCGTGCACATGCTATTGTGCGCCGGTATACCGATATATAGCTTACTGTTACACGGCGCGTATACAGTCAGCGTTTGGTAACGATTAGAAATTGTAAATCTAGCCAAGTATGGGCGTTGCCTATGCCTAGCCACGTTTTTTCGTTATAATTACACCGCATGCAGTAAATGCAAGTGGTCCCTGCTTCTCTGGACTTTCACTTTTTAATCATTACTGCGCACATGGCTCGAGCTACTTTTTAGGTGCAGTTCCAACCTCGTGTTCTTTTCTCACATGTGTAAGTCTTAATTCGTATTGCCTGTAAAGAGGTAGTCTACGACAAGACACCGCTGCGTGAACAGTTAAATATCGCATCAAGTGCAGCTAGTGATTAAAAGTAAAAAAAGTATTTAACATTATAAACGACCGTGTATAGTGTGTGAGTGCGTAAAACCATGTATGAACTCAGCAACGATTCGGATATAAGTGTTGAAGCTGTAATGGGTTCTGATTTCGAAGACAGATATAAAATTGTTTACGATGAAGTCAGATTTGATAATTCAAAATTGAAAAACTTACGAGAAAAAGTCAATTGGGAGAACGAAGAAGAGCGAATCGATTTTATTCGTCAACTTTACAAAATAATCATGAGGTGGGAAGGCAAACCTCCAAATCTCCGAGACATTTTTTCTCCCGAAGAAATCGAGGATATACTCTCTGAATCCATTTGTTACAGGGGTAGAATTCGAAATTGTTATCGCGGAGAACGAATCATCGACTTCGTCATCAAGAGCGGCTACAAAGACGTTCCTGACCTCGGCAAAGACGGCAAGCCAAAGTCGCATCGCACCACAGCGTTGCACCATGTGCCGAGACGCGGTCACAAGGACATCCTCAAACTTTTTCAAAGCACCATGGTCGTCCCGAAACTTTTCGACATATATGATAGGTACGACGTGAACTACCGCGACAAATTTGGATTTACGAACTTTCACGTGGCCTGCATGTCTGGCTGCGACTACATCGCGAAGAAATTTCTCGATCACGGGCAGGATCCCGATTGCCGAGAGCAAGACACGGTCGATCGGCCGCTGCATCTAGCTCTGAAATACGGACAAGAACACGTGGTCGAATTGCTGATGAGAAAAGACGCCGATCCCAACTTGACCAACGCAGACGGTTTGACACCTTTGCACGTTATCTGCAATGTTGACGAGGACGATTACTACTTGCTAGAGAGATTTTTCGCGTACAGCGAGGAATTACAAAAGCCGATACAGCTCAATACCCAGGACAACAAGGGTAACACGCCGTTACTCCTGGCTCTGCGCTGCGGCAACATCCATGTGGCTCAGGTGCTGCTGAAGCGTGGCGCCGATCCGAATATCACCAACGCAGAAGGATCGACATCTCTGCACGTCATTTGCAAAAGAACCCACGTTGATAGCTTGGTGAATATGTTGTTCGAGCACAGCCACGAGCGATATGTTCCGATAAAAATCGATACCAAGGACGTGTACGGCAACAGACAGTTACACTCCGCTTTGCGCTACGGCCACAAGGCCTTGGCTATGTTTCTGCTACAGAGCGGCGCCGATCCGAATCTGGCCAATGCCGAGGCAGAGACTCCGTTGCACACGATGTGCAAAAGCATGATGTGCAGCGACGACACGGCGGAGCTATTCTTCGAGATCGCCGACGAGCTGCAGAAGACGGTGAAGATCCAGGCCAGGGACAAGACGAGCAACACGCCGTTGCACTTGGCTGTCGAATTTGGAAAGGTCAAGCTGGCCGAGCTGCTGCTAAGAAGAGGCGCCGATCCCAACTTACCCAACGCTCAAGGATCGTTACCATTGCACATCGTTTGCAACAGTACCCGCGAAGAGAATAACTTTTACCAGTCGGTTGAAATATTATTCGAGCTCAGCTGGGTCAAATATTGGCCGCTGCAAGTCAATGCACGAGATAATTCTCATAAGACGCCGCTTCACTATGCCGCGTACCACAGGCACAAGAGAGTGACCGAATTGCTGCTGAGAAGGGGCGCCGGTCCGAACGCAGTCGATGCGGAGGGATCGACTCCTTTGCACGTCGTCTGCCAAGGGAACGACGATTATCATCTGGCGGAGATGTTGTTGGAGCTCGGCAACGACCAGTTCAAGCCGGTGCGGATCAATGCTCGAAACAGGTTCGGTTATACACCTCTACACTACGCGCTGTCCTGCAATCACGAGGACTTGCCCCGGTTGCTGCTGAGCAACGGAGCAGATCCGAATATAGCCGACTCGAGGAGTTTTACACCTCTGCACCTGATTTGCCAGAGCTATGCAAAGGATGACTTGGCGAGGCTGTTGTTCGAGATGGCTGGCGAGAGAAATCAACTGGTGGAGGTGAATGCTCAGGACGGATCGGGTAATACACCGTTACACTTGGCTGTCTATTACGGCAACGTAAAGGCAACGGAGTTGCTGCTGAAAAAAGGAGCCGATCCCAATGTGTGCGACGAGGATGAATCGACTCCGCTGCACGTCATTTGCAACAAAGGCAACAGAGATCGCACGTTAAAAGTATTCTTGGACGTCACCGACGAGATTCAGCAGACGGTACAAATCGACGCTGTAGACAAGTTGGGCCGGACACCTCTTCAATTGGCTGTGAAGAATCTCATGCCCTATGCCGTTCGTAAACTATTGAATCATGGCGCTGATCTGTCGAGATTTGTTTTCCCTTCGGCGAATACGTTTGCCAGAGGATTGGAACCAGCGCCCGGGGAAGCTTGGCATAAATTTCACTTGAAACTAGCTGCAAGCGCTATGATGGTCGTCGAGTTTCTGGAGAAAGGAGGATACGAGCTGGACCGAAGCGACGCACTGACGATCATGCAATTTTTCACCAGGTACCAGCTGTTCGAGGAGTCGGAGGATGCCGTCCAATTGTCGCTCGACGCTACAAGTAATTTTGCGAAAAAATTGCAAAATATGAAGATAACTCCGAGATTTTCGCTCTACAAACTGATCCAGTTACGACCCAAGGAGGCGTCGAAACTATTCTCACACAAGAACTACTATGATTTAACTTGCGTCAAGACTCCTTGGTTACTCCAAGATCTTTACGCGCAGGCTTTACTCGTGCATCTGTGCGAGAAAGTATCGAGAAAATTTTTCCTATCCTGGTCGGTAGAATGTTTTGCGACGTTGATACACCATGGGCTGCCGATTGAGTGCTGCGATATGATAATTTCGAATTTGAGAAATGTTGATTTATATAATATTTGCTTGGCAGTTGCTGGCCAAAGATAATTGTAATGATAAACAAATTTCAAGTAATTTTTTTATGACTGATATAATTAATTGTCTCATATTTTCCATATTGTTAAAATAAATAAATTTAAAAACATCAATTCACTAATTCGTTCATTTTTGTTCAAATATTATTCCATTTTTATGTACCAAAAATCATAAAGACGCTTTTTTAAGTAATTCTATAAAATTGACCTTTATTTTGATGAAATGAATTGAAAAAATATCATAAATATTAAATTTGGAAGAAATGCAATAGTGACAGTATATAATAAACAATAGTTGTTTCATATAAATCCCAATGATAAATATTAAGATGGCATGAATTTCTAATTAAATCTCATTATATTATAGTAACGATTATTTTCCTTACTATTTCTTAATCTAAAATGTCTCTTGCATTTCAATCCTTTTTCAGAATACTTCATTTTTTCAACACTCATCTAGCAGTTTACGGTACAAGTGCCATAAGTAACACTTTTGGGCACTTTCATCAAGCTACTATTACGTTGAGAAATTACCCTGGTATTTTGCCCTTTAGAATTGAAAAATTCGAATGTAATTTGAATAAACCTTTCTCAAAAATGTTACAGTAGCCTATTAGTTCTAACCAAATTAATAACTTTCCTCCCCAAGGCTGTATTATTTACCGCAATTACTTGATAAGTCTCCCCACAATAGAATAACCCTTGTGTTGTCTGGTTTTTTTGTCCATATTGTCAAAGCAAAATGCACTGATGCAAAACACAAAGTGAGTTTGATTGAACGATATAGCAAATGGTTTGCATTAACGAACTTCACATCGGACCCATTCTAATCGTTGTCGTGCACGTATTGTTGCCCACAGGTGGATCGAGCGGATAACGAGGAGGCCCAGGCAGGAGGACTGGCGCCGCCGTCGTCCGCGCACCACCACAGCGGTGGACTCGGCTCGAGAATGGGCCCGGGGCCCGATTCAGGCAGCAGTGCCCCATCGTCGGTGCCCCACTCGCTGGCCACGTCACGCGACGAGGAGGACGACGACGACGAAGAGAGCAGCGGTCGACGATCCAACGGTCACGGAGGATCTAGGTATAATATGCACAAGGGCGATTTTATACGAGCCACTCGTACTTATTTTAACGCGTGCTTGTGGACCCTTGCTATTATTATATAAACACGATAGAGCATCGTGTCGTCTTTAGGATGAGAAACAAAAATCATCAAGTGACGATGCAAATTATTATTATATTAATCAATAGAACCGCTTACACTGACCTGTTTTTATTAGAAAAATACCTGCATCATCAAGTTGAGAGTATGATACTGTTTGGGACACGCAGTTGACGTGGCTTATGTAAATATGCATCTCGCTGCTTGAATAATTTCGTACTACTATATTAATAGCGATACTTATGCATCTCATTCGTCTCGAGCTTCGTTTCACGAATTTTGGTTGCTTTATAAAATATATACGCGGCGAATCGTCATATTTCGATTTGCCCGCTGGATTACGGTAAACTATCATTTCAACGATATCGCGGATTAAATCTCGCGCGCATGTAAAAATTCTTAATCCTCGACCCGCGTAATACGCAAAGCTGCGCGATGGACATGGCAAGGAAGCAAACAAGGAAGCTGCCACCGCACCGTCGATCTGTATATAGCTTGGGAGCACGTTCTGCTTGCATACATGATTTCGCTGAAAATGTAATTATCACGTAAATCGTTTATATGCGTGATTAAGTAGTTCTCTCTAGCTCTATTTATCCGCGCCGCGCGTTTCGAGCCGCAGTTCGATTCTAGCCACGTCGCGCGAAACACTTCGGAACGCGCGCGTGCGAGAATCACTGCGCTTTTTCGCATTGAATAAAATTGCGTTCAACATTACTGTGTGCTCGCTGGGTGAATTTTCAAGACCGTTAATAAGGAATGTCGAAATTGGTTTTTTTTCTCAGTGAATATACGGCAGACGGTAAAAAACTTTGATTTTTCAATTCTTGAGTTTATTAGAAAAGAAGTCGTACATCTTTTAACCAGATTGCATTACTTCGTAGTTATAAAAGTTTTCTAATGTTCTTTTACGGGTAGCCATTTTTTACGTAAGTTTACAACTCGATTAGAAAAAAATTGAAAAATAACTTTGTGTTTCGTGTGTAAGTAGTCGTGATTTTGAAACACAATATAAAAGCAATATTAAACTTTTATTCAAAAACGAAATATTAGTCGCATTATTCAGTTTTGAAGTAGTGGCCGTGCAAAATAAAAAATAATTTCAATCTTCATAAATTGTTTTTTTATTAATTTTATTATCTGTGCCTGTTCCTAGCTAAAGAAGATTCAATGGCTTTTTTATGTTTATTCAAAATTTTTCAATCTTTATGAAAGTTATCTTCAGGGTAGAAGAAACTGCTGTCAAAACTTTATCAAAAGATTTATAATGAATGTACTTTCAAGTTTAACGATGAAAATGCACCTTAATTTCCACGTTACAAGTAAGAAAATAGAGTGGAGTGCTCTACGAGCCATCGGATTTTCCTCGTACAACATTTTTTATGAAATTTGAGGTAGCGATCAAATTTACAGAAGTCCGAACAAATTTTTATATTATAAAGCAATCAAAACTCTGCAACAGCTTGATTATTCGAAAACAACTTGATTTGCACGATTTACAACAATAGATTTGACAATGCATCCTTAGAAAGACTTAATGAACCTTAATTTAATTTTTTTCATCAACATTGCTACTAATACGTAAAAGCAGAAAAATATTTTATAAGTCAAAAATATTTACATCACTCAGATGAAAAATTGCACAAACCCTTATACACAAGATTGCATAGAGATTAGTTAGTTAAGTACTCAAGTAGATTAATTTTTTTTAGTATCGTCATAACATCGCTGGTGATTGTGTTAAGCTTAAAAAGCCCCGTAGATTTTATTATTTTCGCGTCCAAGCGGAAGTACTTCATAATTTCTATGCATATGGGTATATTAGCGAATTTTTTCAAATAAGATTTATTCCAAAAATTTAACAACAAAATACATTTCATTATCACCTAATTAACATGCATTAACGCGATAAAAGGTAAGAAATTAGTAAAAAATATCTTATATCGAGCATATGAGATGGATAGAAAAAAATATTCTACGTTTAAGCGTATTAAATAAAAAAACGAATAACGTGAATTAACAATGAAAGAAATGAAAGATTCCGACAGACGGACAGAAGTGGAAAAAAAGTGAACTCAAAGAGATGCACATACTGCTGCACACGCGTGAAAAATGAAAGGAAAATAAAGAGAAAGAGGAAGAAAAGAGTAAGGCGTTAGGCTGTACATATAGTCCAGAAAGGCAAAGCAATTGCTTTACACGAGATTTGAGGGATCGTAAAAGAAGTGTAGTCGAGTGAGAAAGAGAGAGAGAAAGAAAGAAAGAGAGAATGAAATAGGGCACGCTTTCTGGATCTTCTTCGCAGGTCGGCTCGGGCGGCAGCTCGACAGCGGCGCAACTTGAGGCGGCTGCACAAGTCGCTCAGCGCAGGCGGAAGTGCAGGCTACGGCCGCCCCGGTGGCAGCAACAGCAGAAGTTTCGGCGGCTACAGCGACGGCGGCGGTAGTTTCGACGGTTTTGTGAATGCGCCCACCACGCCACCGACGACTACTTCAAACTCCCTTGATGGCGATTCAGAAATACCCGCGGCCGGCGCGATTGGTTCGCATGGCACGAGAGGCTCTCAAAAATGGAGCAACGTTAGGGCCGTTATGGCTCTCTATTCCTCTCTTCGCAAGATCAAGAGGTACACTCGATGACCCACTTGCACATTCGATGATGGAGATTTCAAAATTATTATATTGCGGCGTCTCTGTCCTGCAACGAACCTCCTCTGGCGTCGATTAATATGTTTAATCTTCTTTCATTCTCTGTTGCGATATTATCAAATATGTTATATATATAAAAAATAATAATAATAATAACTTTTGTTGCTCGACTTTAAATCCTAACTGTTGTATCTGTCATAGAAAAATTAACTGTACTATTTTTCTATCCTTTCACAGTATCTCTACTTTATTTGTCTTGTATGTCAATTATTTTTACTAGACATTTTCCTTTGTAGTGACAATCAATGTGAGATGGCATAAAAAATATATAAGTTTCTCATATAATTATAGAAAATGTCTTGTATATTTTTTTAGATTCGGTCCGCCAAAATTTCGATTAAATGTAAATAATGATTTATAATTTTTAATTCATTTTTTCGTATCAAAGAAATTATGAACTCTTTTGAGTCTTGATCAAAGCAAATTGAAATTTCAAAAAATTAAATCAGAATTTTTGCATAATGGTCTTATCACTCTTTTGAAGCTTTTATCACAGACTCAAAAGAATATAATAATAACCACGACAACATTTATTTTTATATTTTGTAATTTCATTAAAATAAGCACAAAAATCAACTTATAAAATATATTTATGTAATTGAAAAAAAACTTGATTGTCAAACAGTGGCTGTCGGATTGAATCTGAGTATACATTCGAGCAGTTATACTTCCGAAGATGCCATACAATGCATTTGGGATGTGTATCCAACTTTTAAACTTTATTCGGTCTTGCATTTGTGTTTTGATATCAAATGTCATGTACGAGCAAAACTTAAAGACATTAAAAGTAGATTTGACAGATGTTTTTCAATGATGACTCACAAGTTGGAAATCAAAGTAATTTTCATTAAGATTGCAAACTTATTTAATGTTTTTACGAATTGCTCTAGGTAACTCGAGCTACCATAATAAAAATCATCAATTCAAGATTTTATTTTAGAAGAATTACTTTCTCATGATGTGTACCACAACAAAAATTAACAGCATACACCTGTGGTAACTTTGACGTTTAAAACTTTATACGTTATAGCTGAAATTCTATTTTTCAATTAATCTATCTGTCCGTCTGTTACATATCTCTCATCTTTTGCAATTAATGCAACTACTCTCTTAGAAATTGGAGTAATTTTCTAACGTCTAACGATGTATAGTTGACAGTAGTATTTTAATAATTCTAGCTATGATAGAAGATTAATATATGATAGTGGTGTTAAGATACTTAGACTCATATAACTGGTAATGTGCCATGTGAATGCTTGTTTAGATTAGAAATAAATTAGTTATTGTTTTTAGATTAATGACTAGAAAAAAATAAAATAGAGAATATGTTTTTTGACACTAAAATATAGATTTTATAAGAAGATGCTACTTACTATTCTGCTTGCTTTATATTGAAACTTTCATCGATTCTTCAACTACCATCTATCAAAGATTGCTTTCAATACACTGTTTTTCAATAATTTCACCTATTAAAATTTATATTACAGACCATGACCCAAAAAATTAAAACTCAACTTTACATTTAGCGAAAGAACAAAAATAGAATGAAATCTTACATTACACATTTTTATTATATGTAGTGAAAAAATAAAATAATACATATAGACTAGTTTTTTTATGTGTTCAACTGTGTTAATTAAAAAGTAAATTACAAAAATATTTCCCTAGAAGGAGTAAGAAAAAATTGCAAGATGAGAAATGAAAATCAAATAGATATATTCATTTCAAATCTTGGTGGTATTTATGTTTCTTTTGAAATGAGTTAAATAAACACTAAATAAAATATCATAAATAAAACAACTCTAATTAGTAAATGCTTAGTGGATTTTTTTTCGGGGTAATCATTTGGAACACAAATTTCCGAGAAATAAAGTGTACTAAAGCTGTAGAAGAGAGTTTCTAAATGAAACGATAAAAATTGCTCTTAAAGTTTTTATCTCTAAATTAAAAAGTGTATAGCTGCAATTGATAACATCGCGAATGAAGATGATAAAAAATGAAAAGAATTCATATAAAAAAATCGAATGAAAATGGTTACTCAGGAGAATTCAAGCTTTTAAATCAATTTTTATTCATATGAAGTTTTTTCGGTAGTTAATAATATTTTCATTGTTTACTTAAACGAAAATAAAATTTCCCTGGTATAAATACTTGACATGGGACGACTAAGGTCACTGTCCTTATTTACGCTCAATTATTAATATTAACAATTTAATTTTACCTAAAAAATTTTTTTAAAAATTGGTTGCACGAGTCGAACATGTTTACTATATTATTTAAATGACAGTATCAAATTTTATCTTTTTCAAAAAATTAGTTCAAATTTGAAAATAGGGACAATGGATTTAGTAGAATTTGACGCAAACCTATTAAATTTATTTAAAGTTTCTTCCTATATTTCTTGCGGAATCGATTGATGTATTATTTCATTTTCAAACCTTGACCTATATAATTGACTTATACAATTATGCTTACTTTGGCACTTGTAGATTAACTGGTAAAAGTACTCGTCATCTGGTGGTGAAGACTGAAATTTGGAAACGGATCTGACTTTAAACATGATTTTAAAAGAAATTTTTCGGTCATTAAGCTATTATTAATGTTGAGAATTTCTACCAGGGTCAGCTTTTCAAGTTTTGTACAAATTCATTTTTTTTTCAAGAGCTTTAGCTACGGGGATCGAAACTTGGGAATTGCAACCATTTTAAATTATTTCTGAGAGACCATAAACTAAATTGATTAAATATTAAACACAACTATAAATAAAAAAGTTTATTTGATTTATAGGAAAATTATGTGTATCTCACGTAAACACCGAGAAAAATAATTCTCTCATAACAAAGAATTGTGAATAACAATCTGTATCATTCGACAGAACGAAGAGCAACCAGCGGTGGATGAAATTACGCACAACGGTCCAGCTGTCCTCGGCGGTGTCAGCCATACAGAAGAAGCCCCCGCTCAAGCGCGAGGACTCGTTTCTCAAGCGCTTCTCGACGCGACAGATACCCGAGAGCCAGGAGACGATCGACACGGGCGAGGGCGAGGGCGACCAGTCGGACGAGAAGTTCCAGACGCGCCGGCGGCGCAGGCAGCGCAAGCTGCAGAAGGCCCCCAAGACGGTGGTCAATCCGGACGAGAACTTCTACTACTACTGGCTCATGCTGCTGTCCGGCTGCGTGCTCTACAATCTGTGGACGCTCATCGTGCGCCAGAGCATGCCCGAGCTCCAGGAGCTCTTCCCCGAGGTCTGGATGGGCTTCGACGGCTTCACCGATCTCATCTTCTTTCTCGACGTGGGCGTGCAATTTCGCACGGGCTACCTGGAGCAGGGCCTCATGGTCTACAACAGCAAGAAGCTAGCCGGCCACTACTTCAGGTCCAAGTGCTTCATACTCGATCTGCTGGCGCTGATGCCGCTGGACCTGCTGCAATTCAACATCGGCGTCAATCCGCTGCTGCGCTTCCCCCGCTTCCTCAAGATCTATCGCGTCTACAATTACTACTACATGGTGGAGTCGCGCACCGTCTATCCGAATCTCTGGCGCGTCTTCAATCTCATACACATACTGCTGATACTGGCGCACTGGTTCGGCTGCTTCTACTACTTGCTGAGCGAGGCCGAGGGCTTTCACGGCGACTGGGTCTATCCTTATCGACCGGGCGAGTACGCGACCCTCACGCGCAAGTATCTCGGCTCGCTCTACTGGTCGACGCTCACCCTCACGACCATCGGGGATCTGCCCACGCCCGAGACTAACGCCGAGTGAGTTTTGCGCTCTCTCGCATGCAATTTTTTTTTTACTCAACTCCAGATCTTTTTTGTTCTCTTCTTTTACTACTAATCTTTGAAACATCTTTACACTTGTACATATACTAACTATGTGGATTACTTTCCTCTCGCTCTTTTGTTCTTTTTTCCTACTTTATGAGTTCGGTACTTATGGCTTACGTATTTTATGGAAAGAGGTTGAGACTTACCTGGTTTGCTTTTGTTTTTTTTTTTATCGTACGATGTAACTTGAATTTTATAAACGAACCCCTTAGTGATATTTTAGTTGATTTCATATTTTTTACATCGATCATTGTTGTTTTTTTTTTAATCGTACATCATATATTATACTCAAGAGGAAATGGAATATTTGTAGAACTCGCCATACAATTGATCTGTCAATAAACGCAACATTATTTAAAAGAACATGATAATACTTCATGTAAGATTGTAAGTACTTTTTGATCTTTCGCTTGCGCACTCGGTTGATTAAGAAAGTTTTTCGTACGGCGCACGTCTCGGCCATAATTTTCCATACATACCAATTGTGGAAAATTCTAAGACGGCAGCAGGAAATGGGAAGTATCAAGAATTCGCAGCGCAATCTTGATAGCGTTTAGTCTTCATATGTCAAGAGTCGAGCGCGCGCGCGCGCTGTAACCGCAAAGAATCGTGATAAGAAGCAAAAGACAGCTCCCTCGGAGTTGAACATCGATATGAGCGCGCGTTTCGCGACTATCACATATAGGAAATGTTCCGGCGCTTGCAATAACGTGTTGGCTATATACATGAATAGAAAGAGAGAGAGAGCGGCGAATAAAGTGGGCGTGATACGGAATATAAAGCGGTTTCGTATAAACGCTCGCAACTGTATAAAGTCACGCTCTGTATGCGTTCGAGAAAGAGAGCAGGACTCGCGGACGATTGCTCCCCGAAGATCGTTGAACGTCGGCTTGTAACAGCGAATCGCATTGCACAATGAGCTTATAAAATTACCTCCGCCATCGTTGCGGGCGCGAGAGTAAAAAAAATATATACTCCGCAAATCTTGTCATGTTAATAATTTTTGATCTGCAAGAATTAACTCTGGATTGTTTGACCAATTGTCTAAAAAAACGAACATCAATCGATAATAAACGGTGCTTTGACTTATATTATTATTTTGACTTTGCCACTTGCAGATTTAAAAATAAAGGTACTCGCCATCTAGTGATTGAGACTGACATTAATTATTATTGGATTTTCGAAAATTATTTGGTCATTTAACGCAAAAAAAACATTGAAATATTAATCTTCAATTCAATTTAAAAATTTTATTATAGTATTAATAAATCTGTTTGTTTCATTTTTGCATTTAAAAGAATGTTGATGCAGCGTTTGTAAAAAAGATAAATCAATACTTACTAATACATTTATTTTCAATTAAAATTTCAATTTCGGTATTGGTTACCTTTATTTCAATGCCTAATATTAATTCTGCATTCAATTTTAAGAATTTTTTAACAGTGTAGATTCATTCTTTTGATAAAACGTGTAATGCAAGTTAACTTCCACATTAAGCCAAAGTTCGATGTAATGTAATGGCGATAAATATTCCATTGTCTCTTGAGTTGTAAAAAAAAATACATTGACAAAAACGAATAGCTTAGTGCATAGGAATGAGAATCGTGAGAGCAGTTTGTTGTTGTTGTGTTGGCAGAGCTGTAGCGGGCGGCAACCACCGGAGTCTCGCTCGTCGTGGTCGACTGTCTCGACTTCTGCAGTTCAAGCATAACGGAGGGTATCTGTATCGTTCCCAAAAAAGACGAAAAGAAAAAAAATTCATGAGATTTATCAAATCGTAAAGAACAAGCAAAAAACATAAGAAAGAAAGAAATGAATTGAACAAGCAACTTTGCTTTGTGTATACTTTCACGATCTTAACGAGCAATATTGCGTCAATTTTTTATTATTGCAATGCACGACGATAAATATAATTCAATTGATTTAAAATCGAATAGTTTCCGAATGCGCATATTGCCGTGCGCGTGATAATAAATATTTGCAATTACTATTCAATTTTTACGCGTTGAATAAAAACTAGTTTGAACCGACACTGCCTTGTGGCTGCAATTCCTCCGTTCACTTCCGCTCTGCATGTTTTGATTGAGTTTTTTTTAGTGTTTGTACGTGTATGTGGGTGTGTGTGCGTTTGAGCTGTTGCGTGAAAAATTGCATTAATGAAGTGTGTTTTGAGCTTTTAATTTGGCGTGTGATTTGAAGCTTGAATTTTAATTGGTCTCAATGACGTGTGGTTTTGCTTGATTTATTATACATTTCTCCATTAACGTTATTCATTACTTCAGTGCATTTATTTTTATTCATACTATATAAATTTTACGGACGTCTACAAATCGAGATTACACACTTCTTACAAACAGGTACCAGTTTGTAGTTTCTCTCTTCAGATTCATTTTTATACATCATAGTCCGTTATCTTACAGGGTAGATAATTTTAGAAAATATAATTTTTTCGAAACACTTTTCAAAAGTTATTTCTTAGTACAAAAAATATCGATTTTCTCTCGCAAAAGTATCCCGAACGTCTTACGACTCGTTCGACGTTTACACCCGGTGTACACACACACACACACACACACATACACAACAGAAATTCGAGTTTAGTACCGAGTTCGACACTCGAGAAAAGAAAAGGACTCACTTAGGGTTTCCCTAGCCTAGGATCAAAAATACAATAAAAGACGAATGGTTTCTTGAAAGGGAGAAATAGCGACGGGAAATAGTTGCGCCGTATATATAGAGTGGTAATGGATGAGCTTTTAAAAAAAATATATAAGAAAAGAGAAAGCATCTTGTCTAACGGATCTATATAGCTCTCTACATGTATAGCTATATACACAAGGAGAAAATGAGAGAGACTGAGGAAAAAAGAATAGCTAGAAGTTAGAGGGATAAAAGAGAATGTTAAATGCGCGGTAAGTACATCAAAATTAGTCAAAAAGAGAAGTTTCGTCGAGCAAAAAAGGGCTGCGAATTTCCACCCCTCTCAGAAGACTCTATAGAAGCACTTCAACTTTCTTGTTTCGTATCATCTTTAATTCAGCTTCTATCTTTTCTCAGGCAGTCTCTCAGCCATTTGATTACATCTCCCCGGTACATTCGCCAAGTAACGAAAAAATTATCGGTCGATTGAATTCATCTGACCTAAACAAATAGGTCAATTCATTCTTTTTTCAAGGTCTAAAGCTGATAGAAGTTACCCCGTGAAATAAAATTGATACAAAAATCTTCTATTGTTCGTCCTTTTACGGTGAAGTGCTCCGAAATCCCGGTATTTGAATTTGACGGCGTTGCGTAGAGAAGTTTCGGTATATCGCTTGTTATCGGCCCAAACGCAAATTCAATTACGCAATGTGTGAAGCCAACGAGACACACCTGCTCGCAACGATTGTGTCGAAATTCGGTCCTGTATCGTTGTATACGAGCGTTAATGAACTCGGCTCTTTAAATTAAACTTCAAATGCTTTTCTCGTTGGCCACACAATAGCCTGTTTATCTCTGACCGTACGGGGGTTTACCCAGTGCGCCATCGTTATTACTTGGATTATATAAATTCTTGGCTCTATTGGCGATCCATTTAGGTATTGAATTTTATTTTGAAAAATTTAAGCTTGAACTTTCTTTTAAAGAGTCACCGTCAACACGATGAAGCGAGCTTGTATTTTCAAAATAAATGAGTCCACCAAAACGGAAGTGTAGCATGAAAATCAATCAAGAGGAAACGTGGAAGAATGAGAAGAGCAGAGCTCATCGTGGATCAATACTTACAGCGCGAGCTGATATCAGAAAATATTTGATTGAGCTGTAATACGTTTCTTGAAAGCTGCACGCTGCTGACGCTCATGACCAAAGTAAAAATGAAATAATGAAAAATTCTTTATTTATGAATTTGTTGCTGAAAAATTCATCGAGAATCAGTTGAGATTATTCGTAGCCCATTCCATAGAGAATCGCGTTTTATTATTCGAGCTTGGATCGCTCTTTTGAATGCAGATTTTAAAAGCGTTTCTTCGAACTCTTACGGTCACTATTTCCAGTGGCAAACATTTTGTCAAGCATTGACTCTAATAAATTACTTGCGGATGTCGTTTGGACTTCTTCTCGAGAAACAAAACTTTGACTGCGCCGTGACGAGAGAGAAGCGCTGAAAATAAGTGCTGAACTCCTTTCGAGCTTGAACGTCCTATACGTACTGTCCTTTTTTTTTCGTTATTCAACACGTTCTTGGCACTAGTTCGCCGAGGCGTTATCTAACAACAAAACTTAATACTTTCCTCCTTCGGCACAGTTGTAGTGTGTAAATTTGACGACTCGTGCACAGTTGGAGTTTCGCATAATAATCGCGTCGCATCCTGACGACTACTTGACTATATCGTCGATCCAGGCAGTAGTAAACTTCTGACTTTTGTCGTAGTCAAATTGGAAGAATCAATTAGCACTTGTGAATATTCGTTTAGTTTCGTTTTTATGAGGTTATACATAAGCATAAGCTCGAGTTTGAAATTTCGTGTTACGAGCAAGATGGCCAATTTTTTTTTCTTCGCTTCCAAAATTCACGAACCAGCAACTCCACCGTGTATTACATCTCTCTAGGGGATCACCTTAGTAACCACACAGACTATTTTGCTTACAACATCAGCATTATAATTTAGTCAAGAGGTACCTGACTTTTAGTTGTTTATTTTAAGTAACATTTTATTACCTCTCTTGCTTTAAATTTGTTACATCGTGACATATTGTTAAATTGCTTGTGATTACGAAGAAAAAACTACCCTAACTATACTAAATAATACAGATTAAAGTCGACGTTTGAGTTACGATTTTATTTCTCGTGCGGCATCTAGCTCCTTTAAATCTTGTGTATATACCCCTATATATATACCGCGAGGACGTCTCAGCGGTATTGAACAAGAATTTGAAAAATTGCTCGGTATCTGACGCGTGGTATATTAAAAAAATGTCACGAGATAATATACGATTTCGCCAACCGAAAATGTAAAGCCTCTTCCCGTATTTCCGGTAAAGGTCGAGGATACAAATACGATGCTCTCAATGAACTGCTAGCTAGGGCTTATTAAAATGAACATTCATTTATTAGCTCGTCAAAAGCTTCGGCGAACCATGGCCCTACTAAGCTTACGGCTCATGATACTCTCACGCGCAGCATCGAAGATTATATTATAAATACTCGCTCGTCCCTTTTCGTCTGCTCCATATATGTATTGAGAGAGAGAGAGAGAGAGAGAGAGAGAGAGAGTGACTATCTCCCGGAGGGGTAGCAGCAACTTTATGGAGATATAATTACGAACTTTCATGGAGTCAAGCTCGGCAGCGCATAAAGCTCCTTTAGTCGCTGTTTCGTTTCGGCCTTTGACGGTAGCAGCTATAGAGTCGCTTATAAGCGTATATAGTACATACTGCGCGCACGCACGCACGCACTCACCCGCCCACGCACACATACTTCGCGCCGACTCTTGTAACTGCTTCCTCCTCTCTCGATGGCTGATAGGGGTATTTCGAAACTTTCCAACTCGTAAATGCCAGCTGCATTTAAGGCTTTAATGATTAGGTGCGAGAATCGGCGCGCGCGTCTCTGGCGCCGCGACACGACGAACGCATGAATTTTCATATCGGCGCTCGTAAAACGTGTCTCTTCGTGCGCAAAGCTCTATAATAACTCGTCCCGATTTGCATCATCCAGTTTTTGTTAGAATCGCTCGTATCAAACGTTTATTATTTGTTTGATGAAAAGTCACTTCGCACAATCGTTCCGCTTTCGAAACTTCGCACAATGCAAATCGTTACAAGCGTTTTTTTTTTCTTTCATTTCAAGTGGTACAAACCTATAACGAGTCAGGCCCGCTGCAGCGCCTCGAACGTATAACATTTTACGTGCACGTTGTTACATTACCTAATGCGCATTTCATTCCATTCATATTCAATTCAATTCGTTCCGTATTCATTATTGGTATTTCGATTTGAATGAAGTACACGAGTGTGTGAGTAATGTCGAGAGCGAGAGAGTGAGAGAGAGAGAGTGAGAGCAAAAGAGGCCGCACATATGAAAAGAGAGAATGCCGATCGCGTGCAATATCATACGATCAAAACGGCGGAATTGCGTGAGCTTGCCTTCTAGAAAATTTCTTTAAATTGCAAATCATCAATTTATTTAATATTATGATAATGTTATAACTAATAAAGTAGCGATGTGACGCTATTAAATGTCGAATAGAATAATAAAAAAAATAGATCGATGCTCCGAAAGAAAGTGATGATAAAGAAAAATGATAAAAAAAAGAAAAGGAGGAAAATGAGAAAGGCTCCGGTGGGGGCTGCGATCGTCCAGCTGAACAGTAAAAGCAATGAAAAGAATAATAAAAATTTGATGAAAACCTCGCATTGCTTTTGCGGCAACGAATTAAAAAAAGTCGTCCAAACAAATAATCGCAAACCGAACAATTTTTTTCATATTTTTTTTTGTGTTTTTTTTTTTTGCTGCTGCTGCTGCTTCACGGACGACGCGCAGATACATATTCACCATCGTCAGTTACCTCATCGGCGTGTTCATCTTCGCGACGATAGTCGGCCAGGTGGGCAACGTCATCACGAATCGCAACGCCAATCGGCTGGAGTTCGAGCGTCTGCTGGACGGCGCCAAGACCTACATGAGGCACCACAAGGTGCCGGGCGGCATGAAGCGACGCGTGCTGCGCTGGTACGACTACAGCTGGTCGCGCGGGCGCATACAGGGCGGCGGCGACATCAACACGGCCCTGGGTCTGCTGCCGGACAAGCTCAAGACCGAGCTGGCGCTGCACGTCAATCTGTCCGTGCTGAAGAAGGTCACGATTTTTCAGGTGAGCGATCGACATATCATGACGTAAGCAAATCACGTCTCCCATATGTGAGTGTATATATAAGAGGAATCCCCGAGGTTAACGCAAATCAAAGCAGACGAAATCACGGAGGGAAATTTTTCTTCGCGAGAGAGAGGGAGACTAGTCTAGATCCGATGACCCGGGAGATATATAGCTCGAGCGTGTTTGTGGCTGCAGGCCCAATTCCTTTCCGATTCGCGCCCGTACGAATGATTTTCGGTGAACGATCCCGTCGTCTCGACTTGACGTTTCCCATAAAAGCTAGAGAGACGAGAGATGATAATCCGAGCGCGACTAAATATATATATAGCGCATATATATACACGAATGTGCAATATAATACGAGTCGTGACAGGAATATAACGTATACGCTGGGAATACATATGAGTCATTTCACGTCAAGTCTCCTAGCGCGGCGCCCGCGCGGCATTATTAATCGAAATTGCTCAATTTGTAACTCGCCAGAAAAGCATCTAAATGCACCCAGAAAAAATATGTGCCATATGATTTTGATAGGAAATTTCCTCAGCTTTCCGATGATGAGGTCAGATTTTCCAAAATTTTCCATTTTCCCCGGAAAAACTTGACATAAACTTTCAAACTCAAATTTCTCAAAAACGGCATTTTTAAGATTTTTTTAAATAGTGCCAATCGAAAGCTGAGGAAATTTCCTATCGATATGCAAGTTTTCAGAGAGTACTTTTGATAATTACTTAATGAAATACAGCGACGAACGTGTAAAAACGTGACATTTCGGCCCGTGCTGCAGCTGTTCCCGCGCGCAGTACCCCGCGCGGCGCAAAATCTCACGTTTTTACACGTTCGTCGCTGTATTTCATTGAGTAATTATCAAAAGTACTCTCTGAAAACTTGCATATCGATAGGAAATTTCCTCAGCTTTCGATTTGCACTATTTTAAAAAATCTTAAAAATGCCGTTTTTGAGATATTTGAGTTTGAAAGTTTATGTCAAGTTTTTCCGGGGAAAATGGAAAATTTTGGAAAATCTGACCTCATCATCGGAAAGCTGAGGAAATTTCCTATCAAAATCATATGGCACATATTTTTTCTGATTGTATTTAGGTGCTTTTCTGGCGAGTTACAAATTGAACAATTTCGATTAATAATGCCGAGCGGGCGCCGCGCTAGGAGACTTGACGTGAAATGACTCATATAGGTACGATCGTGTGCAGCGCGATAAAGACCTGCCATACGCAGGCTCCCGGCATGGCTTTCAAACGCCTGCGCGCTGATGCAAACTTGATCCTCGTATACGCGGCTTATTTTTCCATGGCTTTCAAGAGGCGTATTAATAGGTTCGAACTAATTGGCCGTGGCATTTTGTAAAAAGTATAACGATGATATTTTAAGGGGGTCATGTGCTTCGCCAAAATACATTTTACTCACTCTATCTGAAACAACTTCCGACATTATTATTTTATAAAATTGCTTTGACTTATGCAAGTATGTTGACTTTTTCACTAGCAGATTTACAGATAAAGGTACTCGCCATCTAGTGGTGAAGGCTTCAAATGATACTATTGTACTTAAAGATACACTTAATACTTGTAATAGTTTTAATGAATTTGATTTTAATGTATTTTAAAACTATTCAAATGGCCAATTTTTTGGTCATTCGAACATTAATCATGGTGAGAATTTTAACCGGGAACATTTTTCATAATTAAAATTATGAACAGGCTCGATGCTTGTTTCATATTTGCATCCGTGGATATAAAGAGTGCTCGAGTCGAAAGGTCAGGTGAAAGAGATATAGCAGTGCTAATTGCTCGCGATAACAATCAAAATAATTTAATAAGATGGTATTTTTCGACTTGAATGCTTTTGAATATCAAGTTTCTTAGCTAGTCGCTACGGCTCGCGTAAGAGATTCCTTAGATAAATTTGCTCCAAAAGATATCTCATTCAAAAAGTTAATTTCGTTCTGACTTGATAAAACGCGATAGTTATTTAAATAATTTAACGAACTCGAGCTCTGCAGACGTGGAATTTTATGCACACAAAAGGCGCGAATCTCTCTCGTCCCTAGCAATTAATGACGAATAAACGATTCAACGTTAAGCGTAGGAAACTGTCGTACTAAAAGACACGTTACACGCGATATTTAATTTGAAAGTCGCCGTCCCGATTTTTAACACGAACAACAGGATGCAACGCCGATGCGTCATGGCAGCGCCGCGGCACTAGCCATCATCCGTCGGGATAAAGTTTACAGATTCTATCGCGGGGCGAATGAACTGATCCCCAGGGCAAATAATATTACATCGATCGGGGCCACCAACGTAGCAGTAGTAGTAGTAAGTGCAGTGGCGCGATCGAGCTCCAGCCCTCCTAGCCCCCCTCGTGTCGAGGATCAGCCAACGCGCGCGTGTGTGGCAGCCAGGCAAGCTATGTATACGTATAGCCGCCCAACGATATTATGGGCCACTTGCCGTGAATCGTAATCTTCTTTACTGCCTGTGTCTATATGCACATACACACAGACTAACACTGCATCTCGCGCTTCAGTCGTGCATTACTATACACGGCTCGGCTCTCGAGCGCCCCGTAACTTTGGCGCATACATACGCGCGCACGTATAACACTTTTGTCTCAAGTTAACTTGTTAAAAACTGAAACACGACTTTGTGCGCGCGAGCTTGTATAGGAAGGCGATTTTTATACCTTATACTTTCCGATCTTTGACATTTTTATCTGCACGCCTATACATCGCGGCGAGCTTATCTATACAGACGCGTCTCATATTTCTTTTAACGACTTCCAATTAAATCTTACGGATCGTCGATGTAAGCGCGGATATATCTCTTTTTTTTTATATACCTCGCTCTCTGACCGTTGAAACTGATTTTTTTTACTTCAGCTCGTTTTAAATCACACAGACATATACACACACAGAGCGAAGACGAAGTTGTTAAATTTAACTTTGCGCGCGCGCACATACATATACTCAGGGGTGCTTATTTGTAAATTTTGTGTTTACAGCGTATGAAATTCTTGGCCTGAATAGTTTACTTTATAATAGACTCTTATAAAAGTTTCAACAACTTTCTGTAACAAGCGCGAAATATATTTTATTCGCCGTATCAAAGTTTCTGTGCGCGTACAGATAAAACATAATTACAAATTAAGTAAAACTTGTATTACCATACACACTTTGTCGGGGGTGCAAAAAAACTTTTTCAAGCTCTATTTCTTGGAGGGTCGACATTTATTTACGTTATATTTTGTTGATTCAAACAAATAATTGCCCCTCGTCTGTTTCTTCGTATATAAATTCAATCATTCCGACACTTATATAAGAGTTTGATATAATTTATTTGGTCGCGACAATATTTTTTTGTGCGCAACGTTTACCTTATATATATTCCTATCGTCCTCCCCAAATCCAATATAAAGTATGCACACAAAAAGTTCGATAAAACGATTTCGGCTCTATACGTGGAATAAAAAAATATCTTCTCCCGAAGTTGACAGGAGCTTAAAATCTTCATAAAAATATGCGATACAAATATCGGATGAATATATGTGTCAATATACGTTTGGGAAATATATAAACTGCACACAATCGATCAAAGTATTTTATATAAGAAGAGAGAAAAAAAGAGAGTAATGAATATACGAGTCAAAAATCTTGTTCCAAAAATAACACATCCATCGTAGTTTTTACCATCTAAAAACTCACTCGTGGATTAATCCCGGAGTGTGTGCAACGATCGACTGCTTTGAAATGCGTATATATACGTACTTTATTATCCCCGCGCGGAGAAAGGGTATCTCATCTATTCTGGCGAGTGCACCTAGCGAATTTGTAAGCGTACGTGCGGTATAATCAATCATACATTAAGCTGTTGCCAGGCATTTGTTTTTTTTATCACTTACCGCGCTTTATACTATCCATTCCTCGGACGAAACTTAAAATTGATTTTTATTTAGTTTGGCTTGTTTTACTTGCCTAGTGGCAGAGTTGCGAAAGTAAGCCATTTAGTCAGCCGTGTGCGGTTTTATATCTTAGCGTGGCGTGGCGCGCCCGGAGTATAGTATAAAAAAAAGGATCCTGATGCGAAGTTTATGACTATTAGATTATACTTTTATCGCGTTTGGACCCGTAAAAAAACACAGCGCGCCACAGCAGCAGCAGCACAAAAATATTTTTGCAACGCCGTCGAGTTTTGACAGAGAGATAGTAAACGAAACAATAATATTTTTGCTGAAATACTCACTACATTGTGTATACATTTGTACGATTGTTTGTCTGCCTCTCTGTGATGCAGGAATGTCAACCGGAGTTTTTGCACGACCTCGTTCTCAAGATGAAAGCCTACATATTTACACCGGGCGACTCGATATGTCGCAAGGGCGAGGTGGCGCGAGAGATGTTCATTATAGCGGACGGAATCCTCGAGGTGGTCGGCGAGACGGGCCGAGTACTCACGACGATGAAGGCCGGCGATTTTTTTGGCGAAATTGGAATACTTAATCTCGATGGACTCAATAAGTAAGTCGATCAACTTCTGGATATAACATTGCTCGCAGCGAAATATAATAATGTAACATTTTTATTGTCTAACTCAGACGAACGGCGGACGTACGCTCGGTCGGTTATTCCGAGCTGTTCAGTCTGTCGCGCGAGGACGTGCTCGCGGCGCTCAAGGACTACCCCGAGGCCCAGGAGATCCTGCAGAAGCTCGGCGAGAAGCGACTCAGAGAGGCGCAGCGAGTGGCGCGGGCCTATCGCAATCCGCCGTCGCCGGGCGGCCACGACTCGTCCGACAACAGCACGGGCAAGCGAATCGGCGAGAAGCTGCGCATCGTCGACAAGCTCCGTAGCGACGCCAAGGGCCTCAAGAACGTGCTGCGCAAGAGCCGCAGGAGCGGCCGGCCCAACGACGACGGCCTCGAGCTCCAGCCCCTGACGGCGCGAGCGCCGCAGCTCAGGCGGCAGACGCGCATCGACGAGAGCCACGTGGACTCGTTCGCGTCCGGCGCCCCGGAGCCGCCGATTTCGCCGCTGGGCGCTGGACTGCCGCTCATCAGTCGGCTGAGGCTGCTCAAGGAGAAGCAGGAGCGCGAGGAGAGGCGAAATCTCATGGACCAGGCGGCCGCCGGCCATCAGACCACGGAAATGGTAAAATTTACGCCGCGTAAAAAAAGATATCACTCTTAGAAATATTTACGTTGAAATTAATGCGAAAGTGGAGAAGCTTTTTATTTTGCGCATTTTTTGTAGAAAATTCAAACTATTGCGAATGCTGATCTGAATTACATTTGCAGATTTTTCAAAGAATTACTTTCAATGTCAATTTTTCATTGAATTTAATGTAAAATATTCCTTCTATTTGATTCAGATTCCATTAGTTTTAATTTTTTTGTGTAACAATGTAAGAACGAACGCAGACATAACCCAACTGTTTTCAGATCGACTGCGTTTCGTTCAACTGTGTTTTGACTTATATAATTATTTTAACAGTTCCACTTGCACAATTACAAAGAAAGGTACTCGCCATCTAGCGGTGAAGGCTGACTTTAAGATTAAATTTTCAAAAGTTTTTTCAGTAATGAACGCGAGTAATAAATTTGTACTTGGACATAAACATTCAATCAAAATGTTTAAATTTGAGTATAGAATTAAATATTTTGCATTAATTTTCACCATCAAAATGATATGTCTGGTTGCATTTTCATGCATTTTGTTGGTATGGTTTTTGTAAAAATAAATAAATCAGAACTGATACATTAATTTTCAAATAAGATTTCATGGAAATAGTACTGAATTTAAGGTTTTTTCAACAACGTGTATGTTTTCAAATCCATGATGTTTCTTGCAGACCCAAGCAAGCGCGGAGCTAGTGAGCACGAGCTCGAGCACTACGGGCGTCGGAGCGGGCGCGTCGATGATTCAACGTCTGCTGCACAAGAAACCCAAGCCCGAGCCCGATACCGTGGCCATCGAGTCAGCGGTGGTGAAGGAGCCTCTGCTGCCGCCCTGCAGCAGCGTCATCCCCGAGGAGAGCGAGATCTTCGCGTCGTGCGACCAGACCGACGACGCCACCTCCGCCGAGGCCACCATGATGGGCAGCTCTCTGGCGCTGCATAGGTCGCCGCTGGCCGCTTCGTCGATGGACGGCGACGCGGGAACGAGTCGCAAATGGGCCATGCTCAAGGACGCCTCGATCAAGGGTGGTCCCTCGAGCAGCGCCACAGTTCGAGTCTCGGAAACGATAACGACGACGACGACGGCGGCGGGGGCGACGGCCTCGACGTCGCGCTACCACTCGCGCGACTCCGTGCAAGCTCGGCGCGGCGCCGCGAAAAAGGGCGGCAGCAGCGGAGGCAGCAGCCAGCAGACCAAGATGTACGCCTCGGTGGACGACCTGTCGCCCGAGTACGGCGGCCTGCCCTTCGTCAAGAAGCTCAAGATCCTGAACGAGCGCCAGAAGCTGGCCGAGCTCGAGCGGGCCGTGCGCAGCTCGAGCCTGGACTGCGGCGAGAGCGTCGAGTTCGACAGCAATCTGACGAGGAGCCACTCGGAGGCCTGCGCCATCGAGTACGCGCGCAGGCTCGCCAAGCTCAACAAGGTACGATTCTCATCTCATCTCGATCCTTCCTCGCCATACGCAGACTGTATTTTTACTCTTTTACCCGCCGCCCCCCCTCGCTGCATTATGCGCACTCAAGATCACGATGTTTTTTTTGTCTTCATACGCTATTATATATGCTTCTGTATTACCCCACGTAAATTATAGCGCTTTTTTCCCCTCGACAAACGCATCGCGATACTCGATATATAAACGTGAAATATGATAATTGGTACGATTCGAAATTGCGGTAATACCGGCCGCGGACATATTCATCGATCGAGGCGGCTCGCGCGTCTGCTGTGTTCGACACGGTAGACACACAACTGCGCGTTGATTGAAAATATTTGCCGTTCGGTGATTCGGAGCAATCGTCGCTTCCGCCGCACGATTTGGTAATTGTCATTGACATAATTCGATGCGTACAGTTTTGGTTTAATTGTAACTATACACACGTATACACACGCGGGTGATGCGAACATTTGCCGCGGTACAGAATTTCGATAAATAATATCTACTACATGATGTAAACGGTCGAGCTCTGGTTTCTCCGAACTCCCTCGAATTAGCTAGCTTGTATTTTGTGTAACGAGTATATCGTTCGTATGGTTTCGCCACGGTCTAACTTACTCTCGGTTACAACTAATTTGAAGCGGGCACAACTTACGAGCTCGCTCGAAGCTCGAGACTTTTAGGATACAGCTTGCACGAAGTGCTTCAGATGTTTTCATCGTTAATTTCAAGATTTATATTGTCATGCGTATAGCTTATTACAAAAAATCAAATTTAACCAATATACATTCACAATTGAAATAGCCTATTATGATCCTATGACACGAGGACCGCGAATGCATATAGTCCCTTTTCCAAATATATAGATGAGTTTAGAACTGACTTATTTTTTTTTTAAAGAAAAATTATAGTTATCCAAAATTTACGATTTTAGTTCAAAGATACTTATAGATCTTTATATCCAGATTAAATATCTTATCCAGATTAAAAATCTAGATTACCACATCGAAACGAAATGCTTTTAATACATTCGCGTTGAAAATTAAACAAATTTTTTTCATTCACCACAAAAATATATTCATTGATATCAAAAATTACGAAAGCTGAACGTATCGAAATGATTATCAGTTTTTAGAAGACACTTGTGCTAGGCAAGCGTCACGACTTTGGGTCAAGGATATTTCTCCGACTGACTCTTCAGCAGCTTTTCGCAAAAATAGACTGATTTTCGATACAACGATGGTTCCTGATATGCTAATAGTAATATTTTTAAATTTTAAGTAAAAATCCTTTTCTTTGTTAGTAGATGGCTCTAATGTCTATGAGAAAAGCTCTTGATATTGCCTGGAACTTCTTGTAAATATTGTATTTAATATTTTGATTCACATTATTTATATTTATATTTATATTTACTATGTTCTCACTTATAAAATTACTTAAACTCCAACGCTTGCAGATTTAGACATCAAAGTACTCACCATCTAGTGTTAAAAAGTAGTATTATCGTATTTAAAGGTTAACCCAAAGTGACAAGGATCAAAAGAGCATTTTACTCTCCTGCTAATAAACCTCGGATAATAAATTCAACACTAGATGGCGAGTAGAATTATAAATGAATCTACAAGTGACAAAGTCAAAAAAATGTACTTTACTCTGAATATTAAGCTTAAATTTTCGATTCTGTGATAAAATTTATGTACTTTTGAATTTTTACAAGGCGTTTCCAGGCAACTCTTTGACACGTTTACATTTTCTTTTAAAGTATTTTCAATTCTAATCTAACAGCTCAACTCGAGGGAAAATTATATTGCTAAAATGCTAAAGCTATTTTCACTTCTGTATACTGCATGCGCAAAGAATATAAATGTTTCATGACACGAACTGGCAAAATGACAAATCACGCCGATGCTTTTGCACGAATGCGGAACGCACACGTAATCGAATGACCTTTATTTTCCCATGTAATACAATCTTTTTCACAATAGAAAACGTCGTTATTATTAGAGAATTGAAAAAAAAAGAAATTCACCGTGCATGAAGATACTTATACAATTTTTGTGCACGCAGCCAAAAACGCAAGCTCACGTCTCGCAACACTCGACTCACAAATATATATAAAAAAAAATAATAAAAAAACGAACACAATCGGCATTACGAAAACCATTTTGCTTATACTCAAAGTTTGATTGAATGTGTAAAAAATTGACGATACACCATTGACATTGCTATCTGTACTCGTTATATCATTGAAAAAAAAAAATTTCAAAAAAAATAAATTCTGAAAATGTGAGAGAGGTGCAGAGAGATGTAGAGATATGGTATGCGCATAATTGCAGGAGCGCCAGCGTCGCACTTGTCAATCGCCAGAACAGCTTTCGCCCGAAAATGAAACGCTAGAACGGCGCAAGCTTAAGAGTATCCTTAAGAAGCTGTCGGCGGGCAGCAGAGCCGACAGCTCGGAGGTCTCCTCGATGACGAGCACGCCGGACCGCGAGGCCGCGACGGCCGAGCTGAAAAAGCTGATGCGCGCCCCGACCCTCGAGGGCTACGCGGCCAGGCACTCCAAGCTAGCCAAGAGCGTGACCTTTAACAAGTATACTTTGCAGAGCCCGCCGGGCAGCGAGCAGCTCCATCAGCAGTTCCAGCAGCAGCTGCAGCAGCAGTTGCTCCAGCACCAGCAGAGCATCAAGCAGAGGCAGTACTCGGCGGCCAGCGGCGGCAGCAGCTCGTCGTCCGGTTCGTTGTCTCTGCAGGAGGGGCCGAGTGTCGGTTCGCCCCAGGCCACCACCACCGCGGTACCCGCCGATGGCGCCGATCAGTTGGAGGCCCAGCAACAGCAAACACTGCCGTATTCAAAAGTCAGTTTCCGACCGTTGGCCATCGGAGCCCCGAGCTCGACGTCTCTGGTCTCCGCTCAGTACCAGCAGCCAAAGACGCGCGAGGACGAGTGCATGAACGACCTCGTCGCGGCCGTTCGAAACGTTCTCCAGACCAGAATGGTGACTCCGTTGTTTCGATTTTAGCCGAGCCAAGCGCCGATACTGACTCGAAATTTTTTATGAATTTTGCAGGAATCCGAGGAGTACAAGTACGAGCGACAGTTCTCCTCGCTGCAGTCGGAGATCCGCAAGCGCGACGAGATCATACTGCAGCTGCAGGCGCGCATACTGCAGCTGGAGAACCAGGAGAGCGGCAACGAGGACGACGAGGAGTCCTTCGGCGACAGCACCGTGCAGGACGGCTCGATGGAGGAGGAGCTGGCCGAGGACAACGAGGACCATCCGTTCATGCGCGACGGCTCGGTGGACACGGTGCTGCAGGCGGCCGGGGCGGCCCGACCCCGTCGACGTCGCCGATCCTCGGACACCACGGGCATGGGCACGAGCGCGCTGGCCCTGCGGCCGGCCCGTCGCTCCTGGGACGAGCACTCCGAGGAGGAGACGCTCGAGCTGCAGGACCTGCCGCGCTCGATCACGCCCCAGGCCGTCTGGGCCGGCTCGTCGGGCGACGTCGTCATCGATCTCGAGTCGAGCGACGAGGTAGCCGTCGTGGCCGGCACCAGTGGTATGCAATCGGTCCAGCAGCAGCAGCAGCAACAGGCAGCCGACAGCACCGACGACGAGGAAAGCTCGGAGGTCATCGACGTCGCGGAGATCATCGACGAGCACGGCCACAACAACTGGGAGGTAGCCATGCTCGCCCAGGAGCTCGAGAGGCGGCGTCGCAGCAGCGAGACCTCGTCCACGAGTCCGCCGGGCTCCTAGCCCGGCTTCTGTCGCGGCTTCTTCCAACAGCAGCTGCGCAACCGACCGCCGAAGAAACTCATGAAGAGCCAACTGCTATCCACTGCCCCACAACCATTATTATTATTATTACGACCGACCCGCGCGTACATCAACCACCTGCGATCGCTCGAATCGTCGTTACTTTTTCTACTTGGCAAGCTTGCGAACGCGACGAGCCGACTTTTTTTTCCAGCCCGCTGCTGCTCTATCGGTTTGGACTGAGAGAATTTTTGTCTCGTCGGCGCGTAAGTACTTTCCGTGTCTTCGTTGTCATTCAAAGCCCACATGGTTTCTTCCTATATGATAAATGTTACATGAAAATCGAATTTATCGAGGTACGACGAGAATCTGGAATTTTCGTCGCGAGAAAATTATATTAAACAGACGTCATTACTATATAATATACGTTGATGGTAAGTTTTGTATTGATGAATGAATTTTAATAAAAAAAAAACAAAAATACGCCTATGATAAGTTGAATGTCGTGAGCGAGAATTTTTAAAAGAAATCGAGGTAGCAAATAATTGAGAGAATGCATTTTTAGGATAATTACTACAGTTAGTTATTGTTATAATGAAACGATGGAATTTTTTAGTACCTTCTAATGTAAAGTAGGTAAAAAAAAATGGAGATCACACATTAGGCTTAAGAGTACGTAATTGATACTTAATATACATTAGCAGCAGCGACCGCAGTGCACGATGTAACGAGGACCTTCTGATGCTGAATGTTGAATAAATGTCGATTCATCTTCATTTCATATAGTAGCGAAAATCTGATATGTTATTCGAAGAGGGAAAATATAAAATCTAAAACAAGTGAATGACTCGTCACTTCGTTTAGTGCGCATGAATCAAATAATATTTTCTAATATAGCTCACAGTATTGACTAGTTTTCTTCTTATAATTAGATTCCATATTTTTCTACACCCCCCTCAGATCTGAAAATGTGAAGAAAAAAAAGTTAAAATAACGTAATGTGCATCTCTGGAAAGTAGCATACAAAAATTTAGCTTGTGCAGCAGAAGTAAAGCAAACAAAATTATACACATTACACCCATATGTAAATAAGTATAATGTATCGCGATGGTGAACGAAAAACACTCATTTCATTTCTTTTATTGTAAATATTCACAGGTGCCTGAAAAAAAGTATTTACTGTAACTTGAGGTGTACCTTAAACATTTTACATAGACACGTACCATCGAGCACCGAAATTAACAAGATTTGACTGCGTTTGTAGTTTAAAAGTTTATTTACGACTTTCTGAAATAATGTAACGACGATTTCACGTTTATCTTAAAAATCATTTTGATATGAATTGGATAGATATAAATTAAATATCGTAAGTTTAAAAATCACTATTTAATGAATTTAAAATCTATTGATTCATTAATTTGAGAGTATTTAAATATTCAAAAGAATTACGTTGAAATGAACATTTTTTGTCCCCAAGAGTCAAATGTCAATGTAAGCTTGTCCAAACACTAATATTTTCAAATTAAAAATTTTTGGAATTCATAAAACTTTGAAACATTATTGTTGTATGTGAAATCAATTGTTATCATTCGGTATATTTTTACTGCAATGAAATGAACTGATTTTGCCAATAAAACACAATAATATTATTAGAAGTTTCAAGTATATGTAAATAACGATATCGACTTGTAAAATGCCAAATTTTATAGCATTGAAATTGAATTATTTATTCTGTAGTTAGTTATAAAAAATAGAAAATGAATATTGTACACCCTCGCTATAAAATTATTGAAGGCTACTGTGTGATGAATAGATATCTCTAGAAAAAAACTACAGGTCAGATTCCAATGAGCTTTCATTGCTTCTTGAAATATTATCGAAGAATCAACTTTTATCACTACTCTTAATGCCATTTTTTAAAGCTTCTAAAACTCATTTGATCTTTCTGAGATTTCAGATGATTTTTTCTTATTATTATCAATTAATAACGTATAAGTGAGAAAAGAGATCATATAAGTGTTTTATCTTGATGTTGAGTAGTTAACGGTGATGGATATTTTATAAATTCGGTAGTTCTAAACAAAATCTAAAATAAAGACCAACTTTATTAGGTAATCTTGATTATTATTGATTTGTTTTTCAATCTTAAAAATGTTGTCAAATTCACACTAAATCATATTTTGATCTCAGCACGTAACTGAAAATATTATCTGAAATTTAACTATTACATTTGTGTATGTGATTTATTATAAATGAAAACATAATAAGAAATGGGTAATTTAATTAGATAAAAATTAACTTTTTAAATAAACTGACCAGACCAAGCTCAATATTTCTAGAGTCTTAAAAAACTAAGTCGATTACGTGAAATATGACTTGAGTGTAAATAAATATAACAGAATAATATGTAAATACTGATGTTTTATTTATGATGGTGTGACCATAATAGTAATAAAGAGTGAATGGTGCTAATGTATTATCAATGAACATATAAGAAAATCTTTACGAAAAATAATTATTAATTATACTATACACAAAAGAAATCTTTAGAAGCTGAGAATGTATTTATGACAAATGAATGAAATATAAATATAAATACGTTGTTTTCAAAAAAAAAAAAAAAGCAGAATACTCATTTTCTTTTCCAGCTCTTCCAGCCTTACTGTGAATCCATTAATAGGGAATTTTATTATTTGTTGATAAAGCAGGTAACGTGAATTTCAAAAATCATAAATTGCTATACGCTCGATCAAATATCACGCGCTGTACCTCTTGATTGTCGCCAGGTTCGCCACGGGCAGATCGTTTCGAAAACTAACTGTAAGATGGAGTTACTGGACTCCTCGGATTCCTCCAAGCACTGCGTTCATCGATGTATAGCAATATCTCTCGGCTGTGTAGCTTTATGGAGCTTCATGACATCGGCGCATGTAGAGCTTAAGCTCTACTGTGAATCTTCTTTACCGTGCCGCGGTATCTTCGTCTTGCACCTTGAAAGCTTGAAAAATTTCTCACCGCCGACAAATGCGCTTCGATGCATAATCAAGTATTTTGAAATTTATTTACACATTTATTTTTTATTTAAAAAATTATTACTTATTAAAAATATCACCACTCGGCAAAATTCATTCGTCGGGATTAAATAAAATATTCTCTTCGTGTGATGGAGGTAATTCGAGACGACATAAATTAAAAGTGAACTGATGTTTAAATATCTCTTGTTACAGAGTAAAATTTAAGAAAAAATGTTTAAGCTCGCAGTAAATTGTAATTTTTATTTTAATTCTTCAATATATCAAATACACTGTGTCGTTTTTACTGAATATATAGTGAGAAGTAAAAAGTGCCTCACAAGTTGAAAAGTATGATCTAGTTGAATGGAATTTGTGTGGCAAAAAAAAACTCGTTGTTACTCGACTGCGACGTCGCGATATCGTTTCTTTTCTCGATTTTCACACTGAGCTTTGTACATGAGATTAATTTTCTTGACGTCTTTAGCGCTGAAGCCTTCACGCTGACCAAGTGTGACATTTCCAACCTATTTTACAATATGAAAAACGTCGATTGTGTTCAATGTACATGCATGAGAGATCAGGACATATTTCCAGGCTTCTATAAATACAATATAGTTTTTCTCGTATATATATACCTTAGGAATTATCGTTTTCTTTCCATTCTTCGAAAAAGCCGTAGCACTGTAATGCATGACGCTCTCGTAGTCGTAAGCGACTCCGTAATCGGTCACGCTCGCCTTGTCGTACTTGTTGAAATTGTGCTGGCGATCGGCGCGTATGTTTTTCCAGACCACGTCGATCCAGTCGTCGCGATCCGCGGCGCTCTGCTGATGATAGAAGCCCAGCGCGTGCATGAGCTCGTGAATTATCGTGCCGTGCTTCAAGCAGTTGGGCGGCTGTAAGTTGACCACTTGGCCCTCGTCGTGTTTGCCGACGTAGGACCAGCAACCTGGATCGTCGCTTTTTACAGTTATGAAGTGCGCGTCGCCTTCCTTGTAAGGACGAAAACGAATACAGGTCTTACGATGGAAATCGTCCAAGGCGCTTTTTATTTTTTTTACTTCGTCCTCCTCTGTACGAGTGGCGCGTCCGCGTTGCAAGAAAAAAATTCGGAAATTCCATTTTTAAAATTTATGGATGACATTGTAAAAAATTTAGGAGTATTGAATAATTACCGAAGGCGTCTTCTTCTATTAAGTATGGCACAATTCCATCGGACCATTTTTTGCTCTCGTTTGTCATGATGTTTCTCAAGGAATTTTCACTCAACATTATATCTCCTTCGTGAAGACCACTCAATTCCCATACATTACCATATTCAGGTTTCCAACGATCAATAGCTGCAGCTATAGTAAATAAAATATTTTAAATGATAAACATTTCATTAAATTATATTTTTATTGTCATCTTACCAATCAATTTTTTATCTTTCAAGTTTTTCTCTTTTAGACTTCCATACTTTGCCGAAGGGTACTTAATTTTAACTTTTTCTTTAACGGGTAAAGTACTTGTGGTGACAAAAAAATAATACAACAGAATGAAATACTTTATACTCGACCTCATACTAACGAGTTACATGAACGGCTCGTTGTTTTAAAGCTCGCAATTGTTTTGACTGATACCCGAGCACAGATTTGCTTAAATAACTTTTTTTCGGGACAGTAAAGGATTTTGTTTTCGGTTCACGTAATGCAAGAAATTAGTGGTGTTGTGATATGCAAATGCAGAAATATAATAATAGCGATATTCGTTACATCTTTTTGGGAGCCGTTCTAAAAATAAACATTAAAATTGTGCCGATGATAGGTCATTAATCTCTCATGCCATAAGAAGGTAATTTGAATATTCGAAAAAATTAATGTGTTTTTCCCATTTTTTGCTTTGACTTATACTATTATTTTTACTTTGCCACTTGCAGATTTACAGACACGGGTACTCGCCATCTACCGGTGGAGGCACAAAGTAATCAACTCAATTGTAGCATATAATAGTACTTATTAAATCGTAAGCTATTCATGAACATCTTCTTGCTGTATTTCAAATCACAGTCGGTGAAAAATTAGATCAATGTTAGGTGTCTGTATACACGGTAGTCCGCCACTAATTAACCTTGTATATCATTAAGATTACTCTCAAAGACAGAGAATGAGAGAAAACGTCGAGTTTATAGGTAAAATTATGGTTCATAGCTTCGATGTGGGTCAGCCGTATTTCGGGTGAAAGCTTATATATGCTATATATCGATTTATAGGCGTGAGGAGGACCTGTTTCATACTTCAATACAGTAGAAAATCGTTAACTATTCAATGTACTTATATGTCTGCCTCCCGTTTCTTTCACGCCTGTCTAAATCTCACACATAACATTCGTGCTAATTTATGCCCTGGATTTTGATAATATATTCAAGTATCAAAAACTACCGAACTACTTTTGTATCTATCTGCTACCTGCAAACGCGTCTTAATCTTTTTTTTCGTGTTTACGATGTAGTCCATTCGCGTTGCATTATCATGAAATAAAAGCAGCGCGTTCCACGAAAAGCTGCTGTTGCTGCAGACAAGCTCGAGAATTTGTTTCGCGCGCATATAATTTTTTTTCACCAAACATTATATTGTTGCGTTGAAAATCGGTGAAAAACTCGATCGATCAAGACTTTAATCGTCAATAGCTTAATCGAGCGTTAGACGCGCCGAAGTGTGGAAATGATGCATTTTAATAAAATCAAATGAGACATGCATCATTAGTTTTTGTTTTGCTTTTTGACATGTTTACTGTTTCGCTCGCGCGGCTGCCTCTCTCTCTCTATGTTTCGCACACAATATCACGCACACATATCTCCGCATAGATATTGTACTCGGTAGCGTAGACTAATTCGACGCCTCGTTATCGCCTCGTGTCGAACATTCTTGAACGCGAAAAATATATTGAATGTTGCTGCTGGACGCGCCAAGAGAAAAACTTTAATTTCTTATAAATACATCTCTCTCTCTCCCGGACAGTTTATAATAATATAAAGTTTCTCGGCCTCTCTCGATCACGCGCGAGCGCATTTGTGTATATACGTGTATCTGCTGCAAAATTGTGTGTGTGCTCAACTGCAGCTGGCGATGATTTTTTTCTTTTTCTTCTCTACTCATCGACGTAAGCCGAGATGTCTCGGAAAACGCATGATTGATCGCTGGTGTATACGGGTCGTTTGCGTGAAAATTATTCCATTATGCCCCCGAGCACAATACGATGCGTGTGTATACACACGAAATCTCGCGCGAACAATGCGCGTCGCGCCGGGGCGTCTCTCTCTCTCTCGCACTCTGTTGGCGCGCGCGCGGGCAAATTGAACTTCTCTCTCTCTCTCTCTCTCGAGCGCACAGAGAGCTCGCTGCACAGTAAGTACGCGCGGCACCGCGAAAAATCAGAGCAACCGGTCGTTGGCCGGCCATTCTCTGCTGCAGCTGCTGCTGCTGCTGCTGTATACGCGCTGTGTGTTATATATCTGGCCAGAGCTGCGCTGTGCTCTGGTGTGCTGCTGGCAGAGCAGAGTACCGAGGAGCGATATCGCGCGCACTAACGTTTTCTGTGTGTGTATGTATGTGTGTGTGTGTGTGTGTATGTGTGTATGTACCTCATTTGCGAGAGTCACTTGGACGGAAGAGAAAAGTGGACTTCGAAATCGGTCTCTTCCCCCCCGGTTTCAGCAGTACAGCTGCATGTTCGATCGCGAGCGCATGAGGCACTCTACTCTGCCAGCGCCAGCGCATACACAATATTTTGCCAGCTCTTCTGGCGCGCCGCTGCGGCAGCAGCAGCAGCAGCAGCAGCAGCAGCCACCAATCGATCGACGGTAGTATAATACGAACAATTGGTCACGCTGAACGCTCCGGTCTCTCGAGCCAACGCCAGCATCCTCATTATTTACAATCGATCATCTATCTCTCGCGCGATTTTGTGCTTGAAGTAAAAAAAAAAAAAAAGAAGAAAAAAAAAACGAAGCGAGTACTTTTCACGAATATGTATAACGCGATCGGTAGCATAGTCTTGTTGCATAGGCCAATAAATCATTTGAAAGCAACCTTATGGAATTTTTTATAAGCATGAGTTGAAACTGCGCACTATCGAGTCCTTTGTACGGAAAAATTTCTAATATAGTAGTAAACACGTGCGTCTATAACGCGAATGCGCGCAAAGAATATGATACGATAAAGCCATATCGTAAACCTTTATGTATGGAAAATACGCAAAGGAAATATTTATTGTTTGAGGAAAATTTTTCTTTTCCACTCGTTGCTAATTCTATTCACTAGCTCTGCCGCTGCCACAGTTGACACACATTCGTTGCATAATATTTGGTGAAATCTTCTTTTTGAATTATATCGAACGTACATATACACCGTATTAGTACAAGCTGCATAATTGTGACTCGGTACTTAAATATTATAGTACAGTCGAGGAATAAATAGTACCCGATTACAAGAAGTGACATGTACGTTGGCTCATATGAATATAAGGTCAAGCCGCGAAAGAAAAAAGAGGAGCGAGCGAAAAATGGCGCTCGAAATCGCGTTTTACGCATTTTTGTGAGTGCACACGCGCGCGCATTTAATGGTACATTGAAAAAGTCTCTCCGCGCGGAGCGCGCGGCCATAAAATTTAGGCTACGAGGAAGCTCGTACATTCGAATCTGGAACGAATGTGCGCCGTCGGTCGTTGGCCTCTTCGCGGGTGACAGCTAACGATATTCCCAGCTGCATGTACATACACACACACACACACTTATATACGTATATAATATATGCGGGCGTTTTTGTTGCAATATCGCGCGGGCGAGCGAAGCCAATTTTCGGGGCCATTTTACACATGCGCACACGTCTTATGATAGGCGCAAAATCTAATCCCTCGGTTTTTTTTTGTCGAGACACGCTATCGGCGCATAAAAACGAATGCTTCGTTCCAAATAAACGCGTAACTCTTCTCTTGAAATAACTCGAGCGTCGCGTTACTTTTTTTCCGCAACGTTAAACTATTTACTATATGTATTTGACCGGCAAGTCGTAAGTCAAAACATTTATCGAACAATAGATGCATTGAACGCCGACAAATTGATCGATTCATTGAAAAATGAAAAGGAAAAAATTTCAATTTTCAATTTTCCTCGTGCGAAACTAATCGGCGTAAGTATACGTTTATCAGTGTAAAGTGCGAGGCCGAGATTTAATTATTCAATGTTTATGATTAGTGCAATCATTCGGTTTTGGCCGCGATGCAACAATGCGTTATCGACAATATGAATTATTCTTGTTATATCGAAAGGCACGCAACGTAAACAAGTTGTTCGTCAATGAATTTCCAATATAAAACGAAGCTGGCGATTATCTGTACTGAAACTCGCCACATCACGCCGTGGTATTAGAATCAAGACAGCATAAGCCTACTGTACGATCGGTACTCCGACGACGACGTCTCGTGTTCGAGCATGTGCGCGTGTTATTTTCAATAATTCAAATTCCGATTTTTCGTCGTTGTTTCACAAGACGCGATGACGCACTTGTAATTATTATCTTCGCGTATAAAATGTGCAGCAAAACCTGGAGATGACCCGTTGATTACGTAGAATCGTGTGTTTCCTCATTACCGCGATACATATGCACTCGCGCCAACCGATAGTGACCGTGTAAGTACGATATAATTTTAATCGTGTACATGGGTTCATTGAAATTGTACAGAATCATTATGCGAGGGTCAGCGCGCAGCTTTTGATTTTGCAGCTCAAAGTATATGAAATAATGAGAGTACTGAAATAAATCATGCGTTTGATATTTTAATTTTCAACAATTATATGCGATGCATTTGAACAACCACACTTATCCCATTACTTATATTTATCACCCGAACAAAGTACATCGAACCCGTTTGATTACGCCTATAACCACGAAAAAGTATTAGGAATCCTGCGGTCTTACGTAGCAGTCAAATATAGAAGTGTGATCCGTTAACTCCTGTATCATGATTATCCCATTAAAAACGAGTTATGAAATCTATTAGAATAACTAACCATCGCGTATATACAGTTAAGTTTAAAACCACAAGAGTGCAAATATTAGATCGGATCGTTAGTCCGGATTTAGATAGCTGCTGCAATATCCGAATTTTCGTCCAAATTTCACACCTCCCGATCCTCATAACCTCATAACTATATGAACAGTTAGTGATTACGTATCGCGTGAAAGTCAGGTCGTCGCCGTTTTCGACGTTGTTAAAGAATTTCTAAAATTACAATTTTGTTTCATTTTATTAATGAGTCAGTTATGTATTATGTATATTCATATACTCTTATACGGTACTCCATTCTTTTCGTCTTTATTCATGTGATTATGCTCCAAAATTCATAGTACAGACTTTTGCAAATGTACAATTCAGTATATAAATCGACGAACTACTAACCTAGTACGGTTAAATTATGCCCATAAGGGGTCTTGGCCTATAGGCCGCTGCTATACCGTGCCATGCCGTGCAAGATTAATCATTGACAGATTGCCCAAGTCCGATCTATCTATACATAACGATAT